ACAAATTACATATTTGTTACTTTAGAATTCTCTGATCTGACGGCTTAGTACAAGGTTGTTATATGTTTGAAGTAATCGACACGAGATCGCGTTCGGCGCTGTGATTGGCCGGCACCAATGAACCAACCAATACAAACTCGTACTAAGGCCTCGGCAAGGACCGCACGTTTGTACCAATGACAGATTTTGTTGAGTGCGCCATCTATTAGTTGTTTCTGGAACTATACCGTCAACTGTTGTTTTATGACATGTCGGTAGATGTCGCTACAACTTATCCTTGTATATGAAAAATGTGTAACTTATTGTGTTTATTCATTTTCTCTTAAACTTCATCTACTTAATCAACCTTTTTAGTACATATTGCTGTTGAGAGTACGAAGTATAGACACTGTCTTAACCCCTCGTGTGTCTAAACGTGGATCCATGCGAGACACAGTGTATTTTCTATTGTGTCTCATATACAGACATTCAAGCGGTTAAAGGCTCATGCAAAATAAGAATGAGAAAGTCTCATTGGTCTCCATATAACTAAACAGGGTACAGATTGAGTGTTGAAAGACCATTCAACGCTAAAGTTTTATCAAACCTACATACTAGAGATATAGTTGGCGGAGTGATCACAAGCGCAGAATAAAATACCGACCGACATACAGTCAAGGCCGTTGAAAAAAAGGTGGACATAGTCCCTTGAAATTGTTTCAAGGGACTCTGTCCACCTTTTTTTATGACTGTGGCACCTGGCTACTACTGACTTACACGCTGAATACACACACATTGACACGAAGGACATCACTCTGTCATTTTTATAAGTCTGGTAACGTGGTAACTCATTACACATGCACATATAAATAAACCGCTGACATATTGGTGCTTCAATCTTATACTATTAGGTATATAAAGCGGAAAAGTTTATTTTTTGTTTGTTTGACACCTGTTGCGTGACATGGCCCGTCATTACACTTCACACATTACGGTGTTGCAAGTCCACGCACACATCCTACCTCTATAAATACACCACTGACATATTGGTTCTTCAATCATTTCTAAGTGACATTCCGTCTGCCACTTCTTCAACGTCCTTGTCTACAGCAATTAAGTTAAATAGTGACTTCTCTATACATTTACTTAAACCCAGTCAATTACACGTAACAAAACTAGATGGCGTTATATGTAAAGTGATACATCTCGTATTTATTTATGCCAATAGCGCAAACACTGAGTTTGGTTGCTGATTTAAAGTTATTGGATTTGTTATTAGTAGATGGGAATTAAATTAATAGTTGTAACATATTATATTATATCCTAAAAACTAAGTTTTAGATTAGTGATCCAACTGCTGTTAAATTTTTAAAAACCTTCCTATTTTCGAATTGCTTAATCATGTGTTTTCTGATGATTGTATTTCATTATTCTCCTAACAATAGTGACACTAAACATGTACTTCACATGTTATTATTTTGTTGAAGGCTACTCAGTTTTAAGTCGCGCTTAACTATAGTTCTGTCACTACAAACTCTACGTTAAGTATCAGAGAGTGCGCGATATTTAAGTAGGTACAACTGAAAAGTGAGTAACATTTCAGTATTCGGGCGATAGAGTTGATGTCGATTTGAATAACTTAATTGTAAATTGTCTCCATAACAGCTACAATAAGTCATTACTTTTCATTCCTACGAGTATTATTATTTGGAATGCAAATATTATTGGAATAATGATACAGTGAACAACAGAACACAGGCGCACACTTACATTTTAATATCAGAATCAGAAACCGCGATTCTTTGTCTCAAGCAGACGGTCCAATATTATACAGCTAGGAAGACACCAGTCAATGCGTGCTTCCTTGATTTGTCCAAGGCATTCGACCTGGTACAATATGACATACTTTGGGAAAAGCTGAGAAAGGAGAGCAGTGTTGACGGGTCAGTAATTTCGTTGCTTATGTATTGGTACAACAATCAGACAAACAGTGTGAAATGGGCGGGAACACTATCAAATGTCTATAGGCCAGAGTGTGGCGTGAGACAGGGGGGGATATCCTCACCACGCCTATTTAATTTGTACATCAATCGACTGATTGATGAGCTCAGCGGCACTCATGTAGGGTGTCACATTGACGGTACTTGTGTCAATAATATAAGCTACGCAGATGATATGGTGTTGCTGTGTCCGTCAATCAGCGGTCTCAGGTGGCTCCTAAGAAAGTGTGAAGATTATGCGGCGGCTCATGGGCTCAGGTACAATGCTAAAAAGAGTGAACTACTTGTCTTTAAAGCGGGCACCAAATGTTACTCGAATGTGCCACAAGTTACCATTTCTAATTCACCATTGACTAGAGTATCTCATTTCAAGTACTTGGGTCACTGGGTCACCGAGGATCTCAATGACAACATGGACATTGAACGTGAGCGCAGGGCGTTGGCTGTCCGATGTAATATGCTGATCCGCAGATTTGCGCGGTGTACAGGGGACGTCAAAACTACTCTCTTTAGAGCCTTTTGCCAGTCCTTTTACACATGCGCTCTGTGGG